TGTGTGTGTGTGTGTGTGTGTATTTGGTACAGGGTCTCACTACCCAGCTTGGACTCCTAGTGATCCTCCTGTTCTCAGCCTCTCCAGCACTGGGATTACAGGTGTGCACAACCATACCCAGTCTCGGTGGCCTGGCCTGCTCAGCATGCAGGGGGCAGAGCTGGCGTGGCATGCAGTGCCAGGGATCCTACCTGGGTCCTTGTAGTTGCTAGGCAGGTGCTTAGACTACTGAGCCATCTCCTCAGTCCACTATCATGTTCTTACACTGGTCAGACAATACAAAACATTTGCACATGCGAATCTGATTTGTTTCACTTATAAGTATGGTCTCTAGTTTCATACATTCACCTATAAAAGCCTTGAGTTTATCTTTTTTTTTATAGCTGAGTAATACTCCATTGTGTGAAAATACCACATTTTAAAAAATCCATTCCTCAGTAGATGGGAATTTTTTTTCTTCTTTTGTATTTTAGTACAGGGTCTCACTACACAGATTGGATTAGTAGTGATCCTCCTGTTTTTCAGCCTCCCCAGCGCTGGGATTACAGGCATGTGCCACCACACATGGACTTGGTCCCTGGGCGTGCCTAGGGGGCAGGGCTGGCATGGCATGTAGGACCAGTGATTGAACCCTGGTCCCTGTGCTTGCCGATGAGGCACTTTGTCCGCTGACCTTGTTGTTAGGCTTTTGATTACACTTTCAATTTCATTGAGATTGATTATTCAGAATTTTTATGTCTTCTAGATTCAGTTTTGGTAATTCATATGGATCTAGGAATCTGTACATTTCTTTTGTGTTTTCCTTTCTGTGAGAGTAAAGATTTTGGAAGAAGGTATTGATGTTCTGAATTTCTATAGGATGTGTAGTGATTTTGCCCTTTCATTCCTTATTGCATGAATTTGAATTTTTTCTTCTCTTTCTTTGCTTTTGATAAGGTTGGCTAGGGGTTTATCAATTTTATGTATTCTTTCAAAGCACCAACTCTTGTATTCATTAATTCTTTGTGGGTTGTTGTTTTTTTTTTTTTTCATTTCCATTGCATTAATTTTTGCTCTGGTCTTTATAATTTCCTGCCTTCTTTGAGCTTTGGGCTTGACTTGTTCTTCTTTTTCTAGGAGCTTGACATGCAACATAATGGCATTTATTTGGGTCATTGTGTTTTCCTTATGTAAGAATTTACCGCTATACGTGTCCCTTTTGAACAGCTTTCATTGCTTCCCACAGCTTCTGGTAAGTTGTGTTTGCATTTTCTTTTGATTGTAAATATTGTTTAATTTCTTCTTTAATTTCATCTGTGACCCATTGATTGTTCAGGAGGAGGGTGTTATTTAATTTCCATGTGTTCATAGAGGTTTTGCTGTTTCTGTTGTCAGTAATTTCCAGTTTCATTACACTATGGTCAGTGTATGGGATATATGCATGGGATAATTTCAGTGTACTTAAGCAATGCTGTATGTGCTAGTATATGGTCTGTATTGGAGAACATCCCATGTGCAGCTGACAAGAATGTGTTCTGTTACTGTTGGATAGAACACTCTATAAAGGTCTGTTAAACCCATTTCTTCATAAGTTTGGTTTAGTTCTGTGATTTCTTTGCTAGTTTGTTTTGCCTATTTGATTAATCTCTTTGACAGTGTGTTAAAGTCCTTCATTACAATTGTGTTATTTCTCATATGATTTTTCATGTCTGTTAAAATTTGTCTTATATGGCTGGGCATTCTTGTGTTGGGTGCATATATATTTTTGATTGTTATCTCTTCCTCTTGCAGTTTTCCCTTAACAAGTTTATAGTGACTTTCTTTTTCTCTTTTAATCATTCTTGGTTTGAAGTTAATATTGTTAGCAACCAGAATAGCTGCTTTTTTCCTGGTTCCTGTTGCATGGAGTATTATTTGCCATCTGTTCACTTTCAGACTGTAAATTTCCTTTTGACTTAAGTGTGTTTCTTGTATACAGCATATTGTTGGATTCTCAAACTGGCAACATTTTACATAATTCTTTTGGGCACTTTGCCTTTGATTCTTAACATAAGTCTGGATAAAAGCTCCCAACAATGACCATGCCACCGTCTCAACACTGAACTGCCTTGAAATTTCTTTTGCCAGATTAATGTGTTTTGCCAGACTGTCCTTAATCTGTGTCCCAGGCATTGTTTCCGGACAGGAGCAGAATGCAGACTGTCTGCCAAGCTATATGTAGCACACGTCATCTGGAGTCTAATAACCAATGCAGTCCTTCTTCCCAGCAGAAGTCTCCAGAGCCTGCTCTTTACTGGCAGGATTTCTATCACCATTTTGGTTTTCTGAACTCTGACCAGAATCTCCCATACAGAATAGCCTTTAGGGAACATCTCTGAACCTTTCAAAACTCCTCCCACAAGCCATTCCTAAAGGCTCTTGAACCAAAATCACAGCAATGACCCAATTCCTCTCGTACCAGATTCTGTCTTGGTTAATTTTTTCTTGTTGCTGAGGCAAAGTACCTGACACTCAGAACTAAGGATGGAAAGCTTTATTTAGCTCAGTTTGTGGAAGCTTTAGTCCATACTCAGCTGTCTCAGTGGCAGATTAGCACATGCAGAGAGCAACAATTGGTGGCAGAAGACAGCAAAAGAGCAAGAGTAAAACTGGGAGGAACAGCAGCAGAGAGTAAGCCGCTTTCTCTCCCTTATACTGTATGTGGGCTACCCACCTCAGGTGGGTGTAGCATTCACACCCATAATCCCAGTATGCACCATGAGTCAGTACATAATCTCTAGTCTACCCCATGACTGCATGTGGCTTTGGGGGACATCTAGACAGAAACTGTAACAACGATGTATTTTGAAGTTTCTGAATAATGTAATTTTAAGTTAAAATAGTTACATTAAATCAACATTTTGATAGTTTTGATAGAATGAGCCTGGGTAGATTCTGAAATTAATTTATGTTGAACAATTAGTTATCAGACATTATATAGTATATACGAGTGGTAATGAACCCAGGCACTTAGGCCACAGCAGGTTATCACCATTGAAAGATCTCAGGTTCACCGTCATTTCTTGCACAAGATGTGTTCTCCTTCTGTGTCTGAATGATGAGAAATTGCTGCAGGCTTGTTGGGGTATTCTAGCACCTTGCTTTGGTAGTAACTTCTCTCTGTGGCTTACTTCTTGCCTTGTGTATAGCTTCTTGAATTGGTATTGATACAGTCTCTATAAATAACATTTATTCTGTCCTTCAGTCTGAGAAGAGGATTTCTACCTGTCCATAAAAAACTCCTGACTTTGATCCTCCATTTTTGTGATAATTTTCTTTCTTTAAGAATTTAGAATTATAGAGAGAGCTTATTTTTAAGATCTAGGTAAATACCATTCCTGTGTGTTTGCAGAAACCTCAGGATCATCCTATCCATCATTGAGACTTGCACCTATTAAAATAAGGAAAAGAAAGAAAAGGGAAGATTTGTGGCTGTCTGCACCATGGCCTGGTAAAATACATTCACAGTATGACTTCATGGTGTCAGCCATCATTAGCTGAAAGCTTGTGAAAGCAGTTATAAGACAGGAGAGGACTTTCCAAGTAATAGGACAATGTGCTATAATCACTTTATATGTTAAGGAAAGTATTTCGAAGAGTGTTATAATGCATTAGCAATGCTTGGCTTGATATTATACAGTAGAGAATATACAGAAATTTATTAATTTTTTTGTCCCTTTGAGGGATAGCTGATCTATTGTAGCTGATCTATTGGAGCATTGCCCAGAAAGACTTTTATTGTGTTAGATTTGGACTCAGGCAGGCCTGGCAAAGTGGTAGCTGCACCTTGTGGAATTAGGGAAGTGCTGCTGACAAAAGCTAGGGAAACAGAAAGCTTCTCTTCTAAGGAAATAACCTAATCCATGAAGAAGAAATGAATAACCTTATAAATAAACATGAATTAGTGCAAACTATGAGAGGCCTAAAATAAAAAGTGAAAGATTGTCAGACAACTATTTTTTTGTGTAACAAAAAGTGGTGTGGTACCCTGAAGGAGACAGTAGAGCCTATCAAAGACTAATGAAGGAAAAAGGTTAGAACAGGGAACCACTGCTTATATCTTTCTTCTTTTCCTTTTCTTCTGTCGTTGGGAATGAGTTATCTTATTGGAGACCAGCATAGCTTGTACTTTTCTTTGCTTTCCTAGAGAGTGAGAACTGAAAGCTGGATGTGGAAGTAAAGACATTTGTAGCAAAATCTGCGGATGCAGTGTGGTGCTGCCTGCCTGTAAGCCCAGCACTTAGGAGCTGAGGCAGAAGGATTGCTATCAGTTTGAGGCCAGCATGGACTACATAATGAGTTGAAGACCAGTCTGAACTGCCTAGTGATACTCTCTCAAAAATGAAACAAAATTTGGTAGAGGATCGGCAGTTGAACATTATAATCATTCACAAACTTCATTTCCATGTTTTCAAAGATAATAATTGATTTTATTTTCAGTTATACCATGAATCTGCTCGTACAAGACTTCCTCAAAGTCTTCTGTTGTTTGTGCTGAATTAATATTTTAATATGGTTTTATCCACATTTTAAAACTTGAAGAGTTATGAGCACTTTCAGTAGTAATGTACTTTTTGGATCACTTCCTTGTCAGGTGGTTGAAGATTACGCTGGAAGATGGCAGGTGCCTTTGCCTCAGCTTCAAGTTCTCCAGACCGCACTCTGTTGCTTCACATCAGCCAGCGCATCGTTCCCGGATGAATGTGAGCACGTACAGTATGTTTTGAGTAGTCTTGCTGTGTAAGTACTCTTTACTTATAAACACTTCGCTTACCTTGATGTATTTCAGCATTAGCTTTTGATTATTTCTTCTGAGGAAAAATCCTTATTTAAGCCTTCCCTCAAAAAGCAGCTTTCACTTCTTCCTTTAAGTATTTAAATTTAATTTTGAATATTTAACAACAGTTTTCTTTTTAGTCTTATAGATAAAGGAAATTGTGATACCCAGAGTCTTCTGTTCACTGTTGTGCTTGCTTTTAATTCTCCAGAGCACATTGGAGCTCTGATACTGAGTCCCTGAGCACAGCAGTGCGGCTGTGAAAATTAGCAGAGAGGAACGAGGAACTTCAAAGCAGGCCAAAAAGAGTTTAGGAAATCCCTTTGTAACATGCTTATGGAGAAGTTTGAAATCAAGATTATAAACTACACACTTGGGTTTTTCATTTTTGCCCACCTAGAAGCCCTCTAAAATTATAATAAAGAAGTAAAATAGAGAAATACAAGGGCCGGCCAAATAGCTCAGTGGATTAAAGCGTCTACAAGCAGGCACAGGGACCAGGGGTTCCATCCCCAGCCTGCCATGCTGGCCACATCCCTGGGGCGTGCTGAGACCGCGAATGAGACTGGGCGTGGTGGCACTCGCCTGTAATCCCAGCTCTTGGGAGGCTAGAAGCAGGCGGATCACTACGAGTCCAATCTAGTAGTGAGACCCTGAGTCCAGTCTAGTAGTGAGACCCTGAACACCCTGTAGATCCTTTCCTAAAATACAAAAGAAAAAAAAAAAAAAAAAGTACGGTGCTAGGTTCGTAGAGAAGGATGTTCAGTTAATGAAAGTGAGCCTTAGTGTTTTGGAGCCGAGGGAGCGGATGGAGGAGTGGCATATAGGAGTGCAAGTGACAGCAGCATTCGCTTATGCTTGTGGAGCCTCACACTGCACCCCAGCTGCAGGGTGGCGTGTGCAGTTGTTTATTAGCATTACGGGAGTATCAGAGTAAGTCCTATTTGTGAAACTCTTATTGTCTTATTTATTTTTATGTATGTACATATTGATAATTCATAAAATACTTTTTTAAAAAGCATGTAGGAGCTTGAAGGAGATAATTGTTTGTCTTGTAGAAGGGTACCTACCGGTGTGCCTTGATTACTCCCTGTAGGAAGTATAGAATGGAAATATGCAAGACGTGAAGTACTGAGTAGAGAGTGAAATCATTTAGAATGCAGATGAAGTGCTTAATTGCCTCTTTTTATTGAAGCCAAGTACCAGGGTTTAGAACCAGGGTTGGATGGGTGAAATAGTATTACTACTTTCTTTTCCTCTAAGAAATTCAGTGATATTGGATCAGTGCCCCTAAACCTTATGCTGTTTAAGGATTTCTCATTGAAATCACTGACTACTTAATTATCCGAAAGGAAAACTGATCAATCAGGAAACCTCAGACATTCTCATAGAGTTCCTGAGTACCATATATGACCTTATTTTTAAATATTAGTGAATATTCAAGAATCATCAGATATTTGAAGAATATATTCATTGTGAAAAAAGCCACAGTGAAAGCAAACTGAAAATGTTCTGGAAGGATAATGCTATAGTTACCAACCAAAAAAATTAAAATGAGTGTAAAAAAAATCTATAACATTTTCAGGGACATCTGAGAATATAGTATTGAAGTGTCAGTGTCATACTATGTGAAAGGAATGAGATATGAAACTGAGGTGGAAATAACAAAATATAATGGTTAAAATTTATAGTTCTGGAGGAAGGCTAGAAGTTGCAGTATTGAAAAAATTATCAAGGATGTAAAACACATTAAAAAAAAATTTAAAAGGGTCTATGTACATTGTCTTCTTTAAAAATTTGTTGGTATGGGCCAGGGATGTGGCTCAGTGGTGCAGTGCCTGCCTAGCAAGCGCAAGGCCCCGAGTTCAATTCCCGGAACCAAAAAAGAAAATAGTAAAAATAAGACCAAAAAAAGTCCCTTTGGAAAAAAAAAATTGTTGGTATGTAATTAAAATTGTAGGAGGAAAGAAAAGTTTAGAATACAGTGTGATGTTTAGATTTATAAAAGTGAGGCAGTTTTTAATGATATTTTAAAAAATTTTTGGTTTTGGTATTCATTTTGTGATGCAGAAAGGAAGACAGGAGTGGTTAGGACTTTTTGTCATTGAAAAATCTTACTTAAGATAGGGAAGGTGGGGGAAGTGAGAGAGATTTATTAAAGAAAGCATTTCACCAGGGAGAAGCAAGGACCAGACCTTGTTTCAGGATTTTCTGAATCCAGAGAATAAAATGTCATCTGACTGTTTTCTCTTTGCATCTGTTTTTCTTTTCTCTTAACTTTCTTTCAGAGGTGCTTAGTGACACCTAGGTTGAGCTTAGTTTATTAAACAAGGGACAGAATTCCTGCTACTCCATGACCATCATCACTTCCCCTCCCAGAAAATCTTGGGAAGATCTCTGATCCAGACTGCCTTGTGTGCCTTGCGTTTGGCTTAATGACTTGTTTGAATAGAATGTGGTAAGGTTTTCGGCGCAGTCTGAGAACAAGTCTGCTCCATGACTAGGAGAAAGATGGGTACTTCATTGACGTCTCCCTCAGAATGATGGCAATATTGGAGAGGTGGGCAGTTCCTCAAGAAATATGTGAGGCAGTAGGAAAGAGCACTGGCTGGGTAAAGTAGATGCTACCTACAAAGAATATTAAAAAAAAAAAAAAAAGAATATTTGATTTTATAGGCTACCAGTTTTAGCTATTGTCTATTCATTTTTTAGGAAAATAAAATAAGCATTAAAAAATAAATTATTGGGGCTGGGGAGATGGCTCAATAGAATAAGCGCTTCCCTGACAAGCATAACGGCCTGAGTTCAATCCCCGGTTCTGCCAAAAAAAAAGAAAAAAAAAACTATTTATAAGCAGTAAGAATATTATATAAGATAAAGATGCTAAGTAAAAGAAATTAGTGATCTAGGTTACTTCTTAAATAGTAATGTTCTTTGAAGGAAAACTATCGACACTATTTGAACTTACCTGAATGGAAAAGTAAATAGTGTTTTCTAAATGGAAGAAAAAATGAGGAAGTAGCAACTTAGGGCTGCTTTTAAGAGTAGTAAGTCTATCGTTACAGTTTACTTTACCTAAATAATAACCAGAAAATTATTCTAATATTCTATAATTATTTGTCTGTTTTTTGGTTCTTTGGATAAAAATAGGAAATAAAGTCACATTCTCAAAGACCTTACAGAGCTGACAGGTACTAAATACGCATCATGTTATTGTACACTTGCAGTGTGGAGATGATGGTGGTGTGGAATGGGTGAGTATGACGCAGAACTTGACCTGGCCTCGGATGTTAGCGAACATTTCTGAGGGAGCTATTTGCTGAGCTCTGAAAGAATGATAGGAAAGAAGGAGCAGAAGAACCTCTTAAGTAAGACAAATAGAACATTCAAGAGACTTGGGCAGGAAGTCAGGATGTTAACAGAATTGCATTTAGTATCTGTTTATAGAATTACTTTGTATATTTATATCATGTATTTAATTTTTTTGTATACTTGACATCAAAAGGTATATAGGTGAGTTAAAGGATTTATTGTGTAATATGTCAGATTCTCTCTTATGTAAATGTCTTGGTTACTTTTCCCTTGTTGCTGAGATAAAATCCCCAACACCCAGAGTTAGAGGGGAAGCATTTATTTGGTTCACGGTTTGTGGCGGTTTCATTCCATAGTCAGCTGGGCTCTGAGGAAGGGCAGCATGACTGACAAGCATCGCCCGCAAAGGTGAAACGTTCGTGGTGGTAGAAAGGTACCAAAGATAGGAAGGGTCACCATAGCTCTTTCTATGCCTTATATCTTTTTTTTTTTTTTGTGGAACTGGGGATTGAACTCAGGCCCTTGCGCTTGCCAGGGAAGCACTTATCCCACTTAGCCATCTGCCTGGCCTCTATGCCTTATATCTTACTCAGGCTGCTTAGGGTGGGTATCACTCACACTCTTAATCCTAGTGCCCTTGATCTTAGCTCTGCACTGTGAATCTATTCCAAGGTCAAACACTGTCGATCCAGCCACCTCTACAAAACCTTTATGACCATAACGAGGCTTTGTGGGGACAGCTAGACACAAACCATAAAAATGAGTGTATAATTACTATATATTTATAAAATACATGTTGCATGTGCAACATGTAGATTACTATATTCTTTGGCACTATTGTCTGGTATATATATCCACCTTCATAAAGGTTTATAACAGGGGCTGGGGAGATGGCTCAGTGGAATAAGTACTTCCCTGGCAAGTACAAGGGCCTGAGTTCAATCCCTGGTTCTGCCAAAAAATTTTTTTTTTTTTTTTTTTTTTTTTTTGCGGAACCAGGGATTGAAGTCAGGCCCTTGCGCTTGCCAGGGAAGCGCTTATGCCACTGAGCCATCTCCCCAGGCCCAAAAAATATTTTTTTAATATCAGCTTTATAATTATATTACAGATCTGTCATCCATGGGCTGAAGAGGCTCTAAAAACTATGTTAAAATTCTGTTAACATAATTAGAACTATATGTTAACATGTGCTTGAATGCATTATTAAGTCATTCATTATACAGACAAGGAAAGTTGATTCTGTTTTTGTTCATGCTTGAGTATCTTTAGATGCTTTGAAAATGAAGTCATGGAGACAACTGTCTTAAATAAGTTGGTTATGATACTGTCTAATTTCACCTAAGTTGACTGTTTTTGTGAGCTGTATTTTCTTAAGAAATGAATATTTTTCTCTGTATATATGTAGGTATTTTAATTACAGTGAAACTTCAGTCTTTATAGATTAAAAAACTGATAATTGAGAAGCAAGATTTTGGCAAATTTAAGTTAAATTCTAAGCGGTCCTTTTATATTCTTTGGTTTTTTTATACTCTGGTTTCTCTTCAGATCGTATAAATCTTTCACCTATATTCTTTGGTTTTTAGATTGATTTCTAAGTTTCACAGTTAAAGTGAAGCTAAATACTGTACCTTGAAATTATATGGCCAGGGAA